AAAAAAAAAAAAAAAAAGAAAGAAAGGAACGAAAAGCGTACGAAAAAGTATACAACAGAGGCGAAGCAAACCTCTTTCAGAGGCAAACCTCTTCGAAAATGCAATTCCTCGATTTCTTCCCTTCCTCGCGAGGCGTGCAACAATTTCTCTCCGTTATCGTTAAGCGCTGGCATACAAAAAGAAAAAAAACTCGTCCGCCCCTTTGATCGTTTTAAATGCTCGGGTTAAAGGCTAAGCGTCTCACGCGGCCTACAAAAGGTCGTTACCACTTTAGCAGTGTCGTGCTCGCGAGATACATATTTGTAAGACGCGTTTGTTACGTACACGCGTGTACGACACACAACGTTGAGTAGTCGAAGCAGAACCGAGGACGTGAGCGTCCCGTTGCCGTTTCAGCAGGTATGTTTCAGCACGAGTTATAGAACACGACACCAAACACGCGCAGTGGCATAATATTTGCGCGGCATAAGCCTTAAGGTCGTTGTAAATACGTTCTTCCTCGATGGTCGTTGCACGTTCCTACGTCTCGAGGCTGGCTCGAAGCGATCGCGAAATCGCGTACGCACGTAGTGTGCGTTGTTACGACACGGCTGTAAATTGTAAGAATTGGGCCACCGCGAATACCGACGCAAGCCACTCGTACGTGTACACGTTTACACGCGAGTGCCGGCTGTTTTTTTCTTTTTTTTCCTTCTTTTCGCGTCGACGCAAGAACGCAGGCGCAATTATCGCTAACGCGGATGTCTGGTCGCGATTCGCGGGGCCTTGGCCGGTTTCCCTTTCGGAGTAGCGAATCGGCATTGTTTAAATACCACGGCTTCGAGCGCGAGTTCAGCTCCCGATCTAGAGAACCTTCGCCTGTACCGATGCAAGGTACACCGACACGGCGAATTTCTGTTGTACCGACGGAACAAGTAATCACACAATGGTAAGTCGACTCGCCTGCAGGATCGGTAAACGAACGGGAAATGCCGATAAAGTAGTAACCCATACGTGTAACTACGGTCGATAACGTAGATATGACCAAAAAATGGTTGTTCGATATACGACGGACGATACAACAGGTGGAACAGCAATTTGAAACTAATTAAAACACGTGTGCAAACTTACCTTTGCTCGTTTCAGGCTGAATACTTTCCGTCTTGATCTCCGCCCTCGCCGCGTACGGGATGGAGGTCGGAGATGCTTGCGAGGAAGGAGCCGCTAATTTCTCTGTTGCAAAGTAAAACGGTGGTCTCAACGACAACGTTGGGTTGGTACGATTTGGAATCGTATCTGTTTTACAAGACTCACCTGCTAACAACGGATTGGCGGCTGCGATATTGTACCTCTGCCGCCGACAGGAAGGGGTTGCGGAAGTTGTAGTGGATGTGGGTTGACTGGCTTCGGCCAAATCGGCTTGCAGTTCACGAAGGAATGTGTCTAGCGTGTCAAAGGGTTCTTCCCCTGTGACACCAGCCATTCCTTCGCCCTCTTCCGCCGGCATATTTGGAGCAGCCGGCGTGCCCACGAGGGCACTCAATTCCATCGGGGAGAATTCTACTGACTGCCCCGTACTGCTCTCCTGGTAGACAATCGATAAAGTCTAGTTAACGACTCGCTTTCACGATTGCAGAGCCGATCTTCCGCTCTGACGGAAAAAAACGATCGCGACGGAGACCAACCTGGAGACACTGCGTCAAGTCGACCATTTTGCCGTCATTGTCAGGGCACCAAAGTAGCTCGTCGTCTATGAAGGGCATGTTTGACTCCTCCTTGGGCACGAGGGTGGAGGTCAGCGTGAGGGTTTGCGATACGGGGACCGGCATCGGGACCCGTACCCTGCGGTGGGGCCTCTTTAGCCACCCCCGCGCTTTCTAACATCCAAAACCACCACCGAAACGTCCCCACTTTTCGCCTCTTCCTGTCACTGCTCCGCAAATCTTCTCTCTATCGATTTATGCGCTACCTTGATATCCCTGAAAACAGACAGACGAATTTCATTACGTTGCGGTGACGGGATCTTTCTCAGAAACGGAAATTAATTGCACGGTTTACGCCTTTAACCAGTTGCGCTGGCAAGCTCCACTGACTTGCGGACCGTAACGAGTGACCAAACCGTATACAATAATTCGTCGGTTTTCGTTTTAAACTCGTCGGATAGAAATTATTGAGAAGTAATGAATTAATTATTTGTCTTTGCCCATTTTGTTTTACTTGAGTATACTTAAAACTGACAGAATATTGCAATATTGGAGCAAAAAAATTCTCGACGTGCGTGACACGTGCGTGATTCTTCCAGCGCGAGAGGTTAAAAATTACTTTCTCCCGTCGCACAATGTGGTCAACGCTCACGCGAAACTAACTCTACGATCGTTCCAGCAATCGTCGCGATTATCGATCTTTGGCTCGGCGTGCGTGCCCGTCGATAGCGAGAAATCGATCGATAAGTTTCATCGTGAAACGATCCGGATCGATCCGCCGATGCAAAGCAATTCCAATTCCAATAATTAGAAGCTCGTGCGTGTGGTAAGCATGTAACGGAGCAGGTAACGCTGGCATTTCCATGAAAGTGAAAACACCGAGTGAAAACTTTCTTTCTGGCTCGTAGGTTGTTTCACTTCCTGTGCGCGTAACCTCACTCTCCTGTCGGCGCTGCATTTCTATGCAGCTTCTACGCGCCGCTGTCATTTACGTAATCCTCGGTCGCGAAAGAAAGTTTCTATCGTTGCGAGGAGGTTAACATCCTCTAGCCTAGGCTATTCAAATATCGCTCGACGTAATCGAGAGCAACGCGCTGCGTCGAAAACGAGGCGATCGAATGTCGGTACGTACCCGCATGGAAAGAGAACTCTCTAATGAAACTTTATTATTTCCTTTCTTTATATAATCGATGGAAATTTTGCGAAAGAGAATATATATATATATATACCGTTACGAGCACACTCTGTTTTCTTCCACACGTGCATGCATATTTCGCTTTGAAGAACGACATTGTTCTTCAAAGCGAAAGCGCGTTTGACTCGAGCAGTGGAATTCAAATTGCCCGCCGAAACCAGAGCCGAACAGTTTCCGACATGGCAGACGACGAGAGCAGCTCAACGTCCGACGAGAGTCTGGACGTGAAAAGTGTGAAATTCGATCCGATGAAAGCGCTGTACTCGAGAAAGATCGATCTGTCGGTGACGAGAGCACCGATCTACGACAATGTCGCCAAGTTCGAAGCCGTAATGTCAGGTCTGTCCGGACAGATGAAAGTGCGTATCGCGCTCGCGCGTGCCGATTCCATACACACACAACACATACACACACCATCAGCTGACACATTTTCGTTTTCATTTTCTCTTGACTATTTCAGAAGAACGTGCAGACGACTGCCGCGAAGCTGGGAGAATGCTCGAGGCAACGATTTTTACCCAATCAAGGTAAGATTCCGTCGTTCGTATTCGTAAACAAGAGCACACGCACCGGTGTTTATTGTCATTCTGGCAGAGTGAGGTTATGCCTGTTTGGCCGACTTAACCTTTGGATGTCTGACGAGAGATGGCGACCGTGTGAAATCCTCGCGTCGCCGGGAGGTCGCTGTTTCATTCATGATAACTCGCACGTGGTATCAAATTTCAATATGCTTACGGTTAGCTAACACGAACGGTGTACGTACGCGGAAGTGGAACGGGCAAGTCGCGTGAGAACCTATGACGATTCACGCGCCCCTTTACACAGCGTGCATCTTTTCATCCGGCTAAAGTATACTGTTCGACTCGACACTTTCAGAGCCATACCATGTCATGATATTATACACCGAGTTACACGCCGCTTGCTACTTTTGAGCAACAATGACCGAGTCTTGCGCGTCTCGTTGGATCGTTCGAGGCGATACGGCACGCGGTTTCTCATCGAACCAACCGGCCACTAGCTCGCTCCATATTAGCGAGATTCTCTCGAATGAATCATTCAGCTGTGTGTTTTTTTTTTTTTTTTTTCTTTTTTTTGGCGGAAGAGATCGTTAAAAAGTCGGAAATAAATGTTTGTTTTCAATCAATTAATT